TCATAAGGGGCAATGTGATAGAGAGAAAAGGCGTGCCCGATGTAGTAAATATTACCACAAATAAAAAATATATATAATAAAATATAATCAATTTAAAAAAATCACAGAAATAAGTATTCCAACAAATGTTAAAAATTTTTGGGTATTTTTTTAAAATAATTTTTTTTATGGTTTTTTTGCGGCCAAGTGAATCTTCCCTCTTTAAAAAAATAATTTTTTGGGTTCTTTTATTTTTATGTTATTTTTGAGTAAATTTATTATATTTGAAAGGGGGTTTAAAGATGTTATTTGAGTCAATTAAGAACCCCTAAAATATAATAGGTTAGTGTAAAATATAACACAGTGTTGGATTAAAGTTTTTGCGTAGAAAATTGCACATAAACGTAGAAATTAGTGTTGGATTGTTTAAGGGAAGGATATATAAGAGAGTATATAATAAAGTGCGTGTGTTGATGCATCAGAAAACCAAGCTGGTGGGGGAAATTAAGATGGCCGCATCTCTGCTATTTCTCCCTCAGGAGCCTTGCTACTTCCCTCGGACCACTGCTGCTGCAGCAGCAGGGGTCATGCCCACCATGGTACGTGTATCTGCAGCCCCAGCTGTGGGTGGGGGCGGGAATCGTGGGTGGCCCACCCTTCCAAAGGGAGGTGTATGGATGCCGGTGAAGTAGTCTTGCCCGAGGATGGGGGACGTTGTTTCTCTCTTCCTTGGATGGTACTTGTTTGTGTCCCATTCTGCCAGGTGCCGTTTTGGCCTTGCGGGTTTAGCAGTCTCCCATGAATGTAAAAATGATGCTTGGGCGAGAGATCCGGACATATTGACCGGGTTGGGGGGAGGACGGCCCCCCCAAAGGGTTATTATTTTTAATTTATAGAGGCGCTAAACCTGCAGGGGGCCATGGGAGGGCCCCAGGAAATTGGAGGTGATCACGTCTGATCCAAAGGGAAGAACGGTTTCCAGTTCCTTGGATCAGGTGACTACCGCTTTCTCCCCTAATGAAGGGCCGCGGGCATAAAGAAAATACTAATTCCAGACCCTTGACCCTCGGATTGGGCTACCCTTCTCTTTCTGAATCCCTTGAGTAAAGGTTCCTTGATTCTTAGAAAGGGGGCCTGACTTCTCTTTCCTAGGATCGACCCCCCAATGGAAATAAGGGCACTTTTTTGGGGGGTTTCTTTAGGTAATTACACTTTGTATGATAATTGTACTTTTCGTGTACCTGTACTTAAATATACTTTTAAAGCTTCCCATGCCTCTTGTATGACCCCCCGCAGGTTTAAGTAAGTTTATTACGGTACAGGTCCACATAGGTTTAATTATAATGCCCAGTAACCGTGTAAATTACTAGGAAAACAAAAAAGTTAAAATAACTTTTTTTCCATTGGAGTTTTGTGATATCAATTTTTTTTGCTTTTGCATGATAAATAGTTTATACAAAAATGATTAACATTTAATATTACAAGTGGAAAACCCCTGATTTATGTAGAGAATTTTGGGCAAGCTTAAAAATTAACTTAAAAAGACAATCAAAATTTTATGTACATATATGTACATGAAGACATTCAAGATATACATAACAAAACTGATTCACTGAATAATGGAAATGTATCTATAAGCAGAATAAAAAAAAGCATAGCATGGTATATGACAAGAAAAATAAGTTGGGTTAAAGTTGTCGCAAGTTCTCAGGTACAGGCGACTATCAGTACATTAATTCAAATTCTAGAAACAATTACTTTTTTTAAATAACATAGCTTAGTACAGAAAAAAAATATAGGGAGGTACCATCTCTAGAACTGTCCTAGGGACCCTCATCCTCAAAGAAAAGAATAAACTTGCTTCAGGGAAAACTCAAGGTTCTCCCTGAAGCTGTTTGAGAATTTTCTCCTACCACCCCCTATATTTAATATATACTATTTTATTTAAAGACAAAATACAGTGCAGCCAGCAGCAACAGCTGGTTGATCAGGCTCTGATCCACCAGGAGGCCCCTGGTCACAGCCCGGGCCCCGGGGGGCGTTGACCCCCCCGGAAATCTCTCCAGGTTTAAACCTGGAGTTTTTCCTGGAGAGAGTTCCGGGGGTCCAAAGCCCCCGCGGCCCCCGGGCTGGACCAGGCCCCTTAGGTCATGTCCCGGAAAGGACCCAACCCACTAAAACCCCGGTACCCCTTTTTTCTGATGGGGAACATAGGAAAAAGGTGGAAAAAACGTCCCTTTTTTTACCTGGCTGGGAATCGAACCCAGGCCCTCACCATTTTGAAGCGAGAGCGGTTTAAAACCCCAGGCCCCCCAGAGCCCCCGAAAAACATTCACAAAAAAATACAATAGAAAGTAAAACAAAAATAGTATTCGGATGTAAACTCTGATTACCTTTGTCCCCTCCCCGGGGATGGGCCCCATGCCAGAAATTCCCCAGGGATTTCCTCTCTGGATCGCAACCTGAGTCTCTGAAAGAGGAAGCTGGTTTTCCCTGTGGGGCCTTGGTTTTTATGATGGGGTTTTCCCCGTCCTTTTTGGGGAAATTTAGACACACTTTTCTGCATGCTCCAAAAGGTTTTCCGACCCTATTGGAATTTAAGTTAAAAAGCCCAAAGGGGGAAAAGGGCTTCTTTTTTGCAAAATCTTTTGGGTCTCCCCGGGCTGGCCCGCTCCCCCCCCTTTCATACGGGGATGGCAATTTGGTTTTCTGCCAATATTGGGAGCACAGGGGTAGTCCCCGGCAAACTGCTTTTCTTCCTTTCCCCGGAAACATAGTGGGCCTTCAGGACACTGACTTCCGTCAGACCCCTGCATTGGGGTTCCCGTTGGTTTGGGGAACGGGGTTTTCCGAGGCTTCTTTTTTAGATGTTTATTGACCCCCTCTTTTCTGGCATCCCTTTCCCCTTTTGCGTGTGAAAACGAG